GGAAGTGGAAAAGGCAAATAACATTTTTTTAATTAACATACAATGTATTATTTGCCCCAGGGGTACAGGTCTGTGAATCGTCAGGCTTACACATTTCACAGCACTCACCATAGCACATACCCTCCCCGATGTCCATAACCCGCCCACCCTACCCCCTACCCCCAGCAACCCTCAGTTTGTTTTGAGAGATTAAGAGTCTTTTTTGATTTGTCTCCCTCCCAGTCCCATCTTGTTTCATTTTTTTCCATCCCTACCCCCCACAACCCCCTGCCCTGCCCTTTCCTCATATCAGAGATATCATATGATAATTGTCTTTCTCTGATTGACCTGTTTCACTCAGCATAATACCCTCTGGTTCTATCCACATTGTTGCAAATGGCAAGATTTAATTTCTTTTGATGGCTGCATAGTATTCCATTGTATTTATATACCACAAGGGCAGATAACATTCTTAGTATTATTATTAAACTAGTGTTGGCCTCCCAGTCCCCTTCAAATGGTCCTAGGCACCCCACAGAGTTCCCTGTAACAATTTGAGAATAGCTGGTCTGTAATTCCTTAATTATTTTGGTGCTCAGATTTATCCCAAATTTAATAATTTGGGATAAGCTGGCTCAAGTTCTTGTGACAAGCCCCTCTTTTATTTTTTAATTTTTTTGAGAATTCCCTTACTTTCTGGCATGGCAAGATGTTCCAGACTCATCTTGAACCCACTCTGCTCTAGGCCTAGAATTAGCCATTTGTCTAGCTGCAAATAGAACTAGAAAAAGACATGAAGTTTTTCCGGGAAAGACTGGTATTTATCAGCCATTTCCCATCCACAGGAGTTTCTTACTGGTTATGTTGGCTCCTGTGCCCTGTATCACCATGTGTGTTTCTGGGCCTGTCTCTGTAGAACAGTGTGGTTTTTCAAGTGTGGTCTGCAGGATGATACAAAAGATACCCATTAGGTGATACAAAGATACCTATTAAAATTGTAAGATATATAACTATATATGTTTAAACAAAAAATGCAACTACCGTGGACATTTGAACAGCATGGTTTTGAACTTTGTAGATCCACTTATACATGGGTTTTTTTCAATAAATAAATACAACACTATAGGTGTCTTTTTTCTTTATAATTTTCTTAGTAACATTTTCTTTTCTTGGCTCACCCTATTGTAAGAATACAATATAGAATACATATAGCATACAAAATGTGAGTTAATTGACTGTTTATGTTATCACTAAGCCTTCTGATCAACAGTAGACTATTAATAGTTAAGTTTTTACAGTAAGCTATTAGTAGTTAGCCAGAAGTGTAAGGTGGATTTTCTTCTTCTTTTTTTTTTTTTTTTTAAGTTTTATTTTAATTCCAATAGAGTTAACTTTAGTTGGGTTTTCAACTGCATGGAGTGGTTGGTGATGACTCTTACCCCCCCCCCAACCCCCCATTGTTCAGGGGTCAAATGTAATATAAGTCAAGCATTTCATGGTATTTTTTAGAGTAAAGTAAAAGTGAATTTTGAAAGGGGAAAAAAGCAAGCCAAATTAAAGAAAAATATTGAGAATGTAATACTATAAAGTGTGACAAACCAGAAAGCTGGATTGAATGAAAATTGAATGTCTGATGTTTAGGGCTCACTGCTCTAGATCCTCTTTCCCTGTCTGTGTCCAGGGTTCCCATACCCTGTTCCAGAAGTGAAACTGATGAAATCTGTCTTTTACCTAAGCCTGTCATCTACCTAATACCCGGAGATCTCCCTTTTTCCCCCCTATTGTTTTAACTAAGTAAGTTTTGTATTTTTCTAAACAGAGGAAAAGGAAATCTGTATCCTAGGGCAATTCGCTTTAAATCTACGGCAGTAGCTTTAAAAAAATTTTTTTTAAATTTTTTTAAATTTATTTATTCGACAGAGACAGAGGTCACAAGTAGGCAGAGAGGCAGGCAGAGAGAAAGGAAGAAGCAGGCTCCCCGCTGAGCAGAAAGCCCATGCGGGTCGATCCCAGGATTCTGGGATCATGACCTGAGCCGAAGGCAGAGGCTTTAACCCACAGAGCCACACACGCGCCCCTAAAATTTTTTTTAAGTTTGTAAAATAATGTTGTTACTTCCACAGTCTTTAAATCCCTATACCATTGACCATATCTTTTTTTGTTTTGACTGTTTTAATTAAATCTAATGTTTTACTATTAAGTGAAAAAACTATGCATTGCTTTATATAATGAAACTCATTGGGTACACCAGTGTCAATTGTTTATTGTTATATTAAGACTTACTAAGCCTAGGGGCACCTGAGTGGCTCAGAGGGTTAAAGCCTCTGCCTTCGGCTCAGGCCATGATCCCAGGGTCCTGGGATCGAGCCCCACATCAGGCTCTCTGCTCAGCAGGGAGCCTGCTCCCCCACTCCCATCACCTACCTCTCTGCCTACTTGTGATCTCTGTCTGTCAAATAAATAAATAAAACCTTTAAAAAAAAGACTTATTAAGCCTATACATATCTTAGATAAATGTTTTTGTTATCAAAGCAATGTTTAAATATAAATTAGACCCCAAATTTTTGACACCTGATCAGGTACTTAAAATTGCTCTATTTTGATAAGTAGGATTGTCTTTGCAACTATTGTATGAAAACATATTAGTATGAATAAGTGATCAGTTTTTGCATAATTTCTTACTCAGTGGGAGGAATAGATTTCATTTCCAGTTCTTAAAAATTATATAAGTAGGACTTATTACAAAGAATGGAGTAGGTTTAAAACAATTTATTTGGGGGGAGGAACTTACATCTGATCATAAAAAAATTTATTTGTAAACCAGTGGCCTTATTCCGTACATATACACTTTTTATACATCTTTGATGTCATCTATTTGTAAACAAGATTTTTTCAGCAATTGTCAAGGAATTAGTTAAACTAACTCGTGTTTTACTCTATCTTTTCATTTATACACAGAGAGGTATGATTTTTGATTTTTAAAAATCTTGGGAGACCTTAAGTTTGTAAACCCAAGGGTAGGAATAAGATGTTAATTTTTGTGTCACAGACATTTAAATATAGCTGTAATATATATGCCTTTAGTGGTGCTCCTGGGACTGGTAGATCTTTCTATCATCTTCCTCCATGCTCAATTTTTTGATGTACATTTAAAAGCTTAGAGAACACACACCTACTTTCAGAACCCACTTGTTAGGATTTTGTGTTTTAGAAGATAGTTTTCATTTCTGTACTTGTTATTGCTAAAAGAACATATATCTTGGTATTTAGATAAGAACTATATGAAGGCACAGGTATTTTTATTCATCCAAACATTTGTAAAATTTTCATGTAAACATAGTATTTGCTAATTTTCTGGTAACTTTTGTTACAATGATGAGTTTATATATGTGGATCTAAGTGGCATTTTAGTAAAGAGACACATACCTATTTTGAGCCTCTACTATGAGAATAATGCAGCTGTCATTATTATAGGCTCCTTTTATCCTGACTCATCCCTACAACTTAGGGGCTTCATTACTAATACCTTGACCTACTGTAAATTTATTTAGGATAAGGTAAGCAAAAGGTGACTCCTCTTTTTAAAACTTGGGGAATCTCTGTGTTAGGATTAAATCAGCTTGATTCAGTGAGTCCACAATGAAATGCAGAATTTCCTTAACCTCATACTTCAGAGTTATTACCCATTGATGGCTTGCACATGAAATCCCAACCTTACACTTATTATTACTAAGGCAAAGAAAATAAAACCAGTCACTCACTCTTCTTAGGCTACCTTTTTTTGCTTCCTTTCTCTTGCATAGTCACCCCCAGGAATTTCCGTGGTTGGCAACTGAAGGAATTTTTAGTTGATAGAATTTTAGGTAGTGTGGGAGAGAGATTTGCAACAAGGTCATTTTGTTTAATTATGTCACTCAGTCTATTTAGCATGGTGTAAGGTTGGTCCAGGAGTAGGAAGAGAAGTAGTATTTTGTAAGGCCCAAATTTCTGTCCATGACTGGTGTGATCATGGTTAAACCATGCTCCTCCTCTCATAGTTACTCACCACTGTCTTCCTTGTTTCAGCTTGCATTCCCTGAACAGGTGGCATACTTGCTAACTTTTGGGAAGTAGGAAGCTTACCTGGTTTCCCCAGGCACACAGGCTCAATGACAAAGGAACACGTTTTGAAACCACCATTTTGACAAAGCTGCTTTGAAGGACATAATTGAGACTTTGTGGAAAGAGAAGGAAATACCACATAGTTTTATGTCTTTGATGTGAACTTAAAATACATGCTAATCAAATTTTTATTATTGAGAAAAGTAAGCCTATTGCGTTCTCATCCCATCCCCGACCCATCTACACCTTTTTCTTTACTACTACCTCTGCTCTCGTTTCTACATTGCTACCATCCTGCACCAGTGTTGATCTCAAACCAGAAGTATGAAATCCGTAACTCACTAGCTTTTGCCCTCTTCCTTTAGATCCAGTGAGAGGTAGTTACTCAGATGGGTCGTAGAATCCAACCTATGATTTGGTTCCCTTGGGTTTGCCAATGTAATGTGGCAACAGTATCTTGTGATTCATTGCATACTTAGTAGAGGCCATGAATACAATTCCCTTGGGCAGTAGCAGCAGCCACTTGAACCTCTAATACACATACTCGCAGAATTTGAAGGACTTGAACACCATTGATTGCTAAAATGGGGCTTTTGTTGTTGTTGTTGTTGTTGTTGTTTAATTTTGGCCATTAGTGGCTGAAGATTAATTGGTTAGTCCTTTTTTTTTCTTTAACACAGCATCTAGTTTTTTTCTACCAAAATTAATATTGTACACTATGGCAGGAAATTTAAAATTTCTGTATTAAGTTTAGAATTTGCTTTTTTTAATGTACCCAATTCTAATGGAATCTATTCTTTCTCCTGATAATTCTTTGACCATATGTGGAGGTGTGCAATTTCCAAAGAGAAAATATTACTTGTGGTAACTGCTGTGTCATGAGTTTATTTAAAAATAAAATAATCACTTTTGTCTTATAGGACAAACTATTCGAGAGAAAAGAATTGTAGAAGCAGCAAATAAAAGAGAAGTAGACTATGAAGTTGGAGATATCCCAACAGAATGGGAGGGTAAGTTTGTGTTTTTAGCAGTATCTTCTGGAGGCAAATTGTTTATACAAAATTAGATAATTATTCTTCTTACAAAAATGTTGGTAATCTGAATCTATGAAAATTTTTTAATACTGCATTTCTTTGAAAGTTGTGAAGGTGTCACACTCTAGTACAGGAACACATGTCCAGTGAAAGGAACTTGTAAACATTAGCAGAGCTGGTACTAGTATTAGGGTGAGCAGAATGAAGCTCCTACAATAGAGGATTGAAGGAGGCACTCCCTGTCATGTGCTGACTTTGCACTTGCATGCCTCCAGAGTTTAAATATCATTTCTGGCAATCACTACCCCATGAACGTGGGAAAATAAATTCATACTTCTCAATCTTAGTTTTACTCTTTTACAAATTGTGGATAATATTTGCTGTCACCATCTGGAATATTTGCTCAACTTTAAATGACCCTGGTAACTGACCCTCTGTTAAGACAAGGATGGACACTTGATCCCTATCAGGACTTTGGAATTAAGGTGAGAGTTCAAAGTGAGATAAAACAGTAGCAATCAGTCTTTCAGTACAGCTAGAACCATAACATATAATTGTGGGTAGTTATCTTCAATCAAGTAAGTTTTGTTGCAGAAAAAGCCGATCTACTAAGAGGAAAATGTAAACAGTCTGCAAAAAGAATATAGTGAGATGGAATACTTTGTAGGTTTCCAGGAAGTTGCCACTTCTCTATTCCATTTCTTTCTAAATGAAGTTCAAATGCGTATCTGCCTTTGAGTGCTAGTACCACCCCATATCCTTGTAATAAATTTCCTTTTTCCTTACCAGTTCTTTGCCTTGCGCCTGTCACATACTAAGTGCTCAGTAAATATATAATGAGCACAGGAAATCCATCATTTTTAAATAGATTTTAGAATGATCTTGTTAATTTTTACAAAAATGCCTCCTGGGATTTTTGGTGGGATTTTGTTGAACATATATATCCCTTTACAAGAACTGACATCTTAACAATAAGTATCTTCTTACCCTGGACATTATATTTCTCTTAATTTAATTTAGGCCTTCTTAATTTCTTTTATTAAAGTTTGTAGTTTTCATCATACAGATGTTGCACATCTTTTGTCAGAATTATTCTTAAGTATTTCATCTTTTTGATGCTATTGTATATGATAGTTTTTTCCAGTGTTAATTTTTTATTGTTTGTTACTATCATAAATGTGCCATAGGTATTTGTATATTATCTTGTATGCTATGACTTTGCTAAGCTATTAATTATAGTAGCTTTTTTGTCAACTTCAGCAGATTTTTAAAAAAAAATATTTTTTAACTTAGTTACTTAGAAGATCATATAGTCAATGAATAAAGGCATTTTCTTCTTTCCAACTTGGATGCCTTTAGTTTTTTTTAATCTTATCTGTTTCCACTGACTAGAACTTCCAGTATACAGTTGATCAGAAGAGATGTGAATGGACATTCTTGCATTGTTCCTGATGTATTACTCTTTTTATACATCATTGATTGGTTTATTTAAAATTTTGTTTAATATTTTTATCTTGAGGTATATTAGTTAGTAACTTCTTTTTCTTTCCTTTATTTATTTTATTTTATTTTATTCTTTTCATGTTCCAAGATTCATTGTTTATACACCACACCCAGTGCTCCATGCAATACATTTTCTTGTAATGTCTTTGCTTGGGTTTTGTGTCAGTGTAAGCTGATCTCATGAAATGAGCTTGGATATATTCTTTCTTCAATATCTTGCAAAACTTTATGTAGAGTTAAAATTATTTTTAGAAAAAATTTGATAGACTTTACTACTGAAGCCATCTGGACCTGGAGTTTTCAACTACAAATTAAATTTATTAGATTTAGGATAATCAGGTTATCTATATCTTCTTGAGTGACCTTTGGTAGCATGTTTCTTTCAAAGAGTCTGTCCTTTTCATCTAAGTTTCCAATTTTTTTTGCATAACATGGACCACACACAGTATTTCCTTATTATCATTTTATTATCTTTAGAATCTGAAGTGATGTCCTCTCTCTCATTATTAGTTGTTATGGCTGAATTGTGTTCCCCCAAAATCTATGTTGAAGTCTTTTTTTTTATCTTTTTTTTTTTTAAGATTTTATTTATTTATTTGACAGACAGAGATCACAAGTACGCAGAGAGGCAGGCAGAGCAAGGAAGGGAAGCAGGCTCCCCGCTGAGCAGAGAGCCGAATGTGGGGCTCGATCCTAGGACCCTGAGATTATGACCTGAGCGGAAGGCAGAGGCTCAACCCACTGAGCCTCCCAGGCGCCCCTCTTTGTTGAAGTCTTAACCCCAGCACCTCAGACTGTATTTGGAGATAGAGTCTTTAAAGAGGTAATCAAAGTAAACTAAGGTTATTAGGATGGGTCTTAATCGAATATGACGGGTGTCCTTATAAGAAGAGGAGATTAGGACATAAACATATACAGAGGGAAGAACTTGTGAAGACATAGGGGAAAGACAGCCATCTACAAGCTGAGGTGAGAAACCTTAGAAAAAGTGGACCTTGCCAACACCTTGATATTAGACTTCTACCTTCCAGAATTGTGAAAAAATAACCTTCTATTATTTAAGCCGCTGAATGTTTGGTACTTACCTTTGTTATGGCAGCCTTAGCAAACTAATACATTAGTATTCAGGATTGTTTATGATTCAGTTTTATTTCCTATTGTCAGTTAAAAGCTGTATCTCTACTGAGTGGCTATTTTTGGTATTACTGACTGCATCTTCAACATATCAAAATCTTTATGTGATGTTTCCGCTTCAGATAGATACAAGAACCTTACAAATGTGCACTGCCATTTCTTCCTTCCAATATTTCTGTTATTGTAATATATTTTAATTCTACTTGTTACAAACTGCACACTGTACTGTTATTTTTATTTAAATAATGAACTAGGATTTACAGAGATTTAAGCAATAACAAAAATATGACATATTTATTCATATTGTTACCATTTCTAATGCTTTTCATTCCTTTTTGTAGATCCATATTTCTATCTGTGATCATTTTCCTTAGGGTCTAATGGTTCCTTTAACATTTCTTTAAATGTGAGTCTGCTAGAATTAAACTCTTTCAGCTTTGATATGCCTAAAACATATATATATATTTGGTGGGGTGGCAGAAGGAGAGGGAGAGAGAATCTTAAGCAGGCTCCATGCCCAGGTGGAGCCCAAAGAGGCCTCAATTTCCACAATCCTGAGATCCTAACCTGAGCTACAATCAAGAGTCAGATGCTTAACTGACTGAACCACCCAGGTACCCCTGTCTGAAATATAAAAATACTCCTCTGTCTATAATATTCTAGGTTGGTAGGGGTTTTTTTTCTTTTCTTTTTCTTCTTTTCCTTTTTTTTTTTTTCTTTTGATAGTTTTTTTTTTCTTTTTGTAGTTTAAAGATACTTTATATGGTTTCTGTCGAGAATCTATTATTGTGCTTTTCTTTGTCCTTTTGTATGTAATGTATATTTTTTTTCTTGTGGCTGTTTTAAAGTTATTCCTTTTTTAACTGGTTTTCAGAAATTTGATCATGATGTACTATTATATAGTCTCTTGTGCTTGAAGTTTCATGAACTTCTTAGACCTATGGTTTTGTAGTTTCAAGTCAATTTTAGAAATATTTTGCCCATTACTTCTTCAGATACTTTTCTTTGAGTCCATTTCTGTCCTTCCCTTTGGGGACTCCATTTGCAATTTTAGGCTATTTGAAGTTGTCTCATAGTTCACAAACTCTGTTCATTTGTGGAGGTTTATTTTCTGTTTCATTCTGTATGGTTTCTCTTGCTGTATCTTCAAGTTCACTAATGTTTTCTCTTACAGTGTCAAATTCCTACCAGTCCATCCAAGGTATACCTCATTTCAGACATTGTAGCTTTCATCTGAACAAGTTTAATGAGTCTGTTTTATATCTTCCATGTCTCTACCTAACCTGTTCAATCTGTCCTCTAGCTTTTTGAACATATGGAGTACAGTTATAACTGTTTTAATGTTCTTATCTGCTAATTCTACCATCTGTGTCTGTTTTTAGTTGGTTTTGGTTAGTTGATTTTTTCCCTCCTCACTCAATATGGGAAGTATTTTCCAGCTTCTTTGTTGGCTTCGCAATTTCTGATTGGATGTCAGACATTTAAAATTTTTGCCTAGTTGGATACTGGATATTTTTATATCCCTATCTATATTGTTGAGCTTTGTTCTGAGACACAGTTAAGTTACTTGGAAACAGTTTGATCCTTTCAGGGATTGCTTTTAGGATTCATTAGTTCAGACTGAAACAGAGTTTAATCTAGAACTAATAATTCTGCTCTGGTGATGTAAGTCATTGCTGAGCGCTCTCCTCTGCCCCGTCAGTCGTAAGGTTTTCTACTCTGGGTGGTGGAAATTAACATTACTCTTAACCCTGTGTAAAATGTGAGGACTGGTCCTCTGATGGTTTCTGATGGTTCTTTTCCTGGTCTTAAGAGTTTCTTATTCACAAGAACTCATGAGTGCTCTGCTAAATACTTGATAGCAGCGTCCTGCCAATCTCCACAGTTTTCTCTCCATGTAGCTATGTCATGTATGATAGTCTGTCCTGTGAATTTTAGTTACCTTGGTCTCTCTAGACTCCCAGCTCCTTCTTCATAACATAGATAATGTGGTGAATTTTAGCAGGATCCCCTTCCAATGCCACAGACTGAAACTCGCAAAGCAATAAGCAAGGCATTGTTTTTTTTATTTGTTTGTTTGTTTTTTAATATTCTGAAGGGATCACTATATTTCATTACTTGATGTCCACTAGTCTTGAAAATTATTGTTTCATGTAATTTGTCCCTGTTGCTCCATGTTGCTTAGAAGCAGAAGGCAGCTTTCTTTCAATTCATTTAATGCATTTGAAATTCATCTATGTGTTTGCATGAATCAGCAGTTTATTCCTTTTTTATTGCTGAGTAGAATTTTATCATATTGATATACCAGCTTGTCCACTCACCAGCTGTAGGACATTTGG